GGAATTCCACTCCCCATGCCAGCTTTCTTCATGATCAATTTTCTGTCAACAGGTGATGGGAGCTTGTCTCTCTGCCTTTTGTTTATGCCAAGAGTTATGATTATTTTTTAATATTCTCCCTAAACAATTAAGCTGAATAATCAGGACCAGGCACACTTCCATCAGGCGCCCCCATAGTAAACAGTGAGCCAGGGAATCCAGGCCAGCAGTGGCTGCCTGTGTTAATAAGGATTTACCAGCTGTAAAATTCCAAAATCTTGTGTCATACGGGGAAACCTTCCAAAACACTGGATTCCACCCTGTCTCGCTGAGCCTCCAACAGCTATGGCAACTCCGTTTCTGCAGCCACACTCTTCTGCACTTCTCTCTGTGTGAGCCCTAGATTTTTTCCTGTTTTGCAGTGTTTTTTTGGAATCCCTGGTCGGGTGATTGCCCCTAGGATTACAAGAACACCTGGGGCAGGCAGCACATTCCAGACAGGAGGAAACCTTTGGGGAGAAAGGTTTGCTGGCTTTCAGCAGCCACAGCAGCAAGGAAAGGCACAAGGTGCCCCATTACCCTGAAACTTTGTAATTTGCACAGCAGAACCAGGCAAACCAATCCTCCTGATTAATGCTTGTTACCCTCACATTCAATATTTAAACTTGTTTATTTGTTCAAGTAGCAAACACCTCTTTTGAATGAACCTGGGAAAACACGCAAGTTTTTTTTAAAAGCTTTTTGTCTATTTTATCTTGAATTTGCCTGAGAAAATTGCATCATTAGTGTTGCATTATTAAGTTCACAGAGTTAACTGCTGAAAACAGTTTGCTATTTTCTGCACTCCCCAGGAGTTTTTGGATCATTCATGAAACTGTCAGACTACAAAAAGGGATTCAGCTCCCTGTCTGGAGCACGGTGAGGAACTGACCTAGCACAAAGGGGAACACTGCTGCAGACAGAGCTGGAATTTCCTTTCATCTCTCCCACAGAGAGCATAATCCTACATCAAACCCACACAGCAGCAAGCTTCTCTTCACATCAAACCTGCCCTGATGCCATCCCACCACCGTGTCCTGCAGGGCACTGTCCTGCAGGGCTCCTGGGATCCCCTGGCACACGTTCCATGCCTTGTTTCCAGCACGTGGGGTGCAGACAAAACCTCAACCCAGCACCCCCACACTGCACAGCCACAGCCTGGCTGAGCTCCCCTGCAGCCAGGACACATCCCAGTGTGCCCAAGCACCACTGCTGGGCTCCAGAGCTGATTTATTGTGTCCCAGGGGTTGTGGATGTCCACACCTGGGGGCCCTGGCAGCTGCCCCAGTTCAAAGGGCACAGGCAGCACCTCCTCTCCTTACCCTGCCTGGCCCAAGCTGGAGATTTATGGTGGAGCCACTCCAGGGATGGACATTGTGTTTGGGTTGTTCCTCCACCACCCACATTGTCCTAGAGATGATTCACGGTGTCCATGTGGCCACCAGAAGAGTTTGGCAGGGGAAATCACAGCCCATTTGCACTTTTCTCCCTGAGAAACACGAATCTCCTCTATCACTGACAGCAGAGCAGCAGCAACCAGTACACAAATGGGAGTAAACACAATGCAACCAGCATCTGACTTGCAAATTATTACATGACGATTAAAATAAATAAAAAGGGGAATTCCAAATGTCTTCTTTTTTTAACTGCACTGTAAGATCTGGGCCCCAACCAAACACTAACACCCTTGACCTTCACCCTATTCCAAATCCTTGATAGCTCCAAGACTGCTTTTCAAGCTTTCTCTTCCAGATCAAAATTACAAGAATACAGTCCAATCTAGCTGCTTCCCTGACCTACTTTAACTTAGCTGGGCTCAGTTACGTGTCTCCAAGTTCAGATCTTCAAACTCCATCAGCCAAACTCTGCTTTCTGAATTCATCAGCTCCCCTGGCTCACAGCAGCTACATTTTATGATCTTGCACCAGCAAGAGACAACCGTAAGAAGAACTCAGAACTCTGAGGCCTGCATGTTGATAAACTTTAGCATTCAGAAAATTGATGCTATTTATGCATCAGCATTTCAAACACAAGCACTTTATCCCTCAGAGCACTGAGCTCCAGCCCCTTCACTGCGTTTCCTGCTGCCATTTCCTGTCGTGAGCCGAGGCTGAGCCTGTCCCAGCCCTGTCCCCAGCAGCTCCCTGCCACCGCCTGCGGCTCGCGTGACACGGACACTCGCTTTCACAATGACATCCCCCCACAATTCGGGGAATTGTCCTCCTTTTCCAGGTATTTCTATGGAAAAATATACTATCTGCAGTTCTGTGAAAAGATAAATAAAGCCTGTTCATTACTGCTCACGGAGACACGTATTTGTGTCACAAATGTGACCAGTTCCACATTCCTCCACCTTCCTAGCGGTGGGTGAAGAATCTACAAGAGTAGAAGAATCGTCTACAAGATCCAGAGGAAATGGGAAGAGGTTCTGAGTGTTTCCCTGAGAGATGAAACCTAATTTGCAGTTGTGACCCCGAGCAGCAGCTCCCTCAGCTCTGCACAGCAGAGTGATGCCTTCCCAGCACGGCTTCACCCGGCTCCAAGGGACACCCGGAGTTTGGAGTCTGTGCAACAATGACCAGCAGAAAATCTGGCTGCACAAAAATACTTGAAAAATGATTTTTTTGGGGGACAAAAGAGCCTTGCCACTCTCACCCTAAACACTGCACACCCAAGCCAGAGCTCTGTGGAGCCTGGAGTGCCAAAAGCTGTGGCATGGTTGCCTACACTGCTGCTCTCACCATTGTTGTTACCAGCACAGCTAAAACTGGTGGCAAAAGTGGGAAATCCAGCACCACTTGCTAGCACAGACAAGGCTTGTGAGCTGTTAAAATGAAACTCTAAGCAAACCAAGCTTCCCCTGCGAGCTTGCTGCATCTTCCTGCCCTGACAAAGGTGTGATTGTCTCACAGGCTCCGCGGCAGCGGCGCGCTCTGGAGAGACACAGCCTGCTGCAGCTGGGTCAGCAGAGCTGGGCTGCCAGCCACCCCAGCACGGTGCCTGTGGCTTACCCTGCCCCTGAGCAGCTCATCAGCACTTTCTGCACGGGCTGTGCAGGGCAAGGTGTGGGTGAGCTGCTCCTCCCTCCACCCAGGCACTGCTCCATCGACGCCTGGGGCTGCACGGCTGGGCTCAGGGCTCTGGGCTCACTGCTCTGGGCTCACTGCTCTGGGCTCAGGGCTCTGGGCTCAGGGCTCTGGGCTCCTGCAGCCCAAGGCAGTGGCAGCTATCAACAGACATCCCAGAGATATTTGGAATTGCCTACAGTGCAGAATGAGGGAGGCTGAAAGCCTCAGGTGCACAAGATCCTGATTTCAGGGGAGCTGAGATACTCATCAACCTCTGACAAGCCAGGCACAAAACAATTCTGTTTGCTGCACTCAGCCCACGCATGATCTGCACGTCCAGCTCAGCTTCTTAACCTTCCTCACCTTAGGATATACGATTAAATAAAGAAATCTTCATTTAAAAGCGCTTCAGGGCACCTCTGCCAGAGGTGCTGCTGCATTTTGGAGCACACAGAGAAGCACTCAGCACAGAGTCCCCCAGATAACCCAGAGCAAACCACACACACCTCTGATTCAGCCTGAGGATTTGACTCTGGACCTCCCATCCTCCAAATCCCCTTCTGCCAGTCATTTATTCAGAGTCCAGCAGACTGGGGCTGCCTGCAGAGGCCGAGGGCTGGGGGGGAGGCAGGATATGGAACACCAGCAAGCAAATCCCTGCTCCAGACTGGGCACTGCTGCTGGGATAAGTCCTGTCTCTCCCCTACCAGGAGGTAAAAAAAGGAAAAAACCCTGCAGTTTCCCCAGCAGCGAAGAAAAGCTTTAGATTTAGTGTGGAAAATATTGTTGTTCTTTTTACTTTCTAACATCTCTTCCAGCCAGAGCCTTCTCTGCTCTCAGATGGAAACAGGGGCAGGGCGTTTGGGATGTTTCCTCGAAATGGCATCAGGAGCTGCCTCCTTTGAGTGGATCATCTCCTGTAGCTGCTGCAGAGCATTCTTGGGACAGGTAGCACTGCAGGCTGCCAAGATGTTCCCAAGCACCTTCCCGAGGCGCTGACATGGTGGAACAGTGGCAGCACAGTGGGAAGGAATTAATCCATGGGCTTGAAAGGAAACGGAGCGTGCCAAAAGAAATCCTCTGACTGCACAGGCTCATCTGAACCTCCACAGCTCTTCAGAGCCTTTCATACCTGCAGAACCAGCCTGGCTTGCTGCTGCTGTGCGAGGGAGCTGGGACCCACAGGATGTTTTTTTCCCCATGTCACCAGCTGGTGCCCATGTATGTTCATGAATGTACATTCATTTTTTGCTCGATTCTCACTTTTTTCCAATGGCATCACCCCATAGATTATGCACATGCTGCTCACTTGGGCAATGCAGTCTCTTAAACTCCTTGCAAGTCACTGCATAACACTGAAGATACCTCTACCTCAGTTCACTGACAGAAAACTCACAAACACCAGGTTTTCTTAATAGCAAAAAGGGAACACAAAGTTTACAATCAAAAATATGGAAGAAGGGATGGATTCTTGTATCTCATTATGTGTATAAAAATTATTTTATATCAAAAGACACTTATTCTCCACAGATTTCTAAAGGGAAGCAAACACAATCTTTGCCTGCAGTTCACATCAATAAAAATGATAATTTCAGTGATGAGTTCTACAGTAGCATTCACTAAACATGAGATTAATTCACTAAACATGAGATTAAGCAAGCACAGAGGAACACGTAGCACTCATCTCCTGTCTTTGATAACAAATCTGTCCCTGCTGATTCCCAGTGCCTGGATTCTTGTGAAGCAACAACACAAACAGTTGCTCCCAAGTCTAACTTGACTCACATGGTTTTACTTACATGAACTTGAATGGGACTACTCACTTGAGTATCATGAGCACAAACCTTATGATAAGATTTGGCACTACAGATTTGTCTTATCCCATTAGGGAAAGTTAGGAAAAACCTGCCTTACCTGATGTTTTTTCTGTGAACACCACCTTGGACTCTGCTGTGAAATTCTGTCCAGTGAGGATCATCTGCTGTCCTCCATAAACCAGGCAGCTGTCAATGTCTTGTCTTTCAACCATTGGAAGCTCATGAGCAGACCTTTGGGCTGTGGACAAATTGCAAACATGAATGAAACCAGCTCTGTTTTACCAGGACTTTCCAAATCTTCCCAGAACTATCCACAGATTGATCTTGTCATCGTTACCATCCCCTGACTGCCAAAGCAGCTTCTCCAGGGTGCTAAATTTAGGCCTGAGAGGGAAAAATAAACTTACTCAAGGCATTTTATTTGGAAACATTCAGGAGTTGGCTGCAGTGGTTCAGCTGTGCTGGCCCTGCTTCTTGTCCTTGAGAAAGGACAGCTTGGATGAATGAGCTGAAACTTGCCCATGCCTGTTTCCAAGCCAACGGCCAAATTTTCAAGTGCAGGCACACTGCAGCCCCAGAGCCCAAAAATTCCACCTGCACAGAGGATTCCACGGAATAACACTGAATTCCTTCAGAGGGGGGAAAAAACCAAATGAACCTCTCTCCAAAATCCCACTGCCTCCCACAGGGCAGGGCTGGCACAGGGGGCTGCCAGCAACAGCTCCAGCTCCACGTGTGGGCACCGAGCCCTGGTGGGGCAGCCACCAAGCCCCACTTGTGATCTGGAGGGGTCACACCAGGACTGCTGCAGCCCAGGGTTTTTCCAAGCATGTTCAGCCTGAACATCTGAGGAGCAGGGCCCTGTGTCACAGCCTGAGTCTGGATACAAAAGGCAAGGGAAGGAAAGGTAGGGTGGGATCCAGATGGACACGGACGTCAGCAAGGCTTTCTAAGGTCTTTACTGTTCTTGGCCATGAATTTGGAGCGTGACTTTAGCAAGCTATTCTCTCTTTCCCCAGCCAGAAAACCAGGAGAGCACCATCTCTCCACCCACTTTCCTCTAATGCCATTAAAACAGCCACTGCTTGGTCAGAAAGGCTTTGGAGAGCCCTGGTGACCATTCCTGCAGAGCCATCCCAACTGTCTGAGCTGAAGGAAGTGAAGATGTGAGAGCTGTTCCCCACGACACAGACAGCTGGAAAATATCAGGAGCTTCCCTGTGAGCAGAGCAGGTGGGCAGCAGCTTGGGGCTGGTGAACTGCGAGTTCATGACCTGCACTCCAACTCCTCCAGACTCATCCACCCCAACTGGAAAGGCCTCCAGAGGCTCCTGCTCATCTCTTTCCCAGCTGCCTTGGCTGGATTTCAGCTCTCCCTGACAGAGACCCTGAGCACTTGTGCCTTCAGTGAACACCGTTGGCTGCTGAGCCAGAAATGAGGAAATGCGATCGTGGACGTGCAGGGCTGGCCTGCCTCACACCAGGCAGGCTGAGACCTGCCCTGGCACTGCTCTGCTGCCCTGCAACCCTCGCAGAGACCAAACTGTCTCATCGCCTGGAAAAGATGTTGGAGGATTTGGTGGGAAAACTCAAGCATTAAACCTTTCACGGCAACTTTTCTAGCTCTGCTGAACCCCTCAGTCACGAGACAGAGATTCTGCTCTTATTGAAGAATAAAAGTAATTCAATACTTGTAACTTTCTTATGCCATTTGAGAGGCATTTTTGAAATCTGTTTAAAACTACTCTAGGACTCATTGTTCAAGCATGTAACATCTGGGCTAATATACAGCCAGTTAAAAAATATATATTCAGATTACTTTCAAAGACACTGATAATTTCTTTCACATGGCTGTAGGATTAATTTATTTCCCAAAACACTAACATTTCTGATGAGTTCCTAATTGGATTTATCACAAAGACAGATCTGTAACCTCAAAGGCTTAAGAGTAAATAGCAATAATCAAAAAGCATGTCTACAACAGTCAAGAGAAAATATTTAAGTATTTAAGCATTGCCCTGGACACTCTTTATTCCTATTCAATCACCAAATTTCATTTCCAAAACATCCTAAATCATCAAAATTCCAGATTAACCTACATTTCTTTCCAGCTTTGTTGTGTTACCAGAGAGCTTGGTACCCACCCCACAGATCAGTGGTTTCCAAGGCTTTTTCAGCATGAGGAAGGACAGATTTTAGCCTGGTTTTCACACTGACTCATCTCAGTTCCCTTTGGAGCTGCTGCACCTGGCATGGCTTTGGGCATCTCCAGAGCTGTGCCCATGCTGAGACAAGAGGTGTGCAAAGCTCCTGTGCCTCAGAACAATCCCACCTGGAGAGTTCCAGCTGAGCTCCCAGGGCAGACACCACACTGAAGGGCTTCCCCTGCCCTGTTTCACCTGAATTCTTCTCCTCCCTTTGGGTGGTCTGAAATCCTTCTCTAATAATAAAAACCCCAGCCACTTTTCATTTTCCAAGGTCTGTTTTTTCCACCCAAGTGTGTAAGAAGGCTTCAGCCCCTTCCCCATTTCCACCAGTAGAGAGGTTCAAGGCTCAGTGTGGAGCTGCCTCAATAGGATTATTTTTTTTTCCTCTGCAAGAAATATTAATTGCTAATAAATCCCCTTCCTCTAAGGCTCATGATGGGTGCACTGCATGCAATAATTTCACACTATTCCTTCTCTTCCCCCAGGGGTTGGCACTTCATAAAGTGACCTACAGCTACTGGAGTTTATGAGCTTTGAATAAACAAAACGCTGTTGATTTAACCAGTTGGGGTGTTTACTTTCAATAGCAACAGTTACTGACATAAGGCAGCAAAGCAAATGCAATAGAAATACTCACACTTGGCCTGAAGCAGTGTGTCAACCTATTAACAGGGGACATTATTTTTCTATTTTATTTGACTGTTTGCAAATCAAGATGTCATGGATTCGTGGTGCCAAGAAATACAATGCATGCAGTGACACAAGACAGAAAGGGAGCCACTGTCTGAGAGCCCTGCAGCACCTCCAGGGTGCAGGGAGCAGCCCCTGCTGCCCACAGCCCACCCAGGCTCCCTGCACCCCCAGCCTGTGCCAGCAGCTGAGGGAAGCTGAGGATGGGCTCAGTGTCTGGGCAGCAGGCTGGCACCTCCCAGGGGAGGCACAACTGGCCAGGGGACTGTGCCAAGGCAGCCAGAGGTGGTTCTTGCTTCCCCACGTGCCCACAGTATCCATCCCTCTGCTTCTCAGCAGAGAGGAGATCTGCCTTTCAGGGGAAAAGGGTGTTTTGAGAAAAGTGATCACCTGGAGAAGTCTGTTGCAGCTCCAAATCTCCCCCACGAGGGTGTCACCCATTGCTGCTGGAGGTGACAAGGGACAATCTCAGCTGGAGCAGCCTGGTCTGGTGGAAGGGGGTGGGACTGCAGGAGCTTTAAGGTCCCCTCCAAGCCAAGACATTCCACAATTCCATAATTCTGTGACGAGCTCCTGCCAGAGTGAAGCCTCTCCACTCTCTCCCACACCTGCAGCACTGAGTCCAGACCTCAGGTTCTTGTTGTCCCCACTGCTGACAGTGAGACAGCAGAGATTTGATCCTTGTGACACCTGATCAGGAGGAGCAGGACTGAGGCTCACCTGCAGCTCAGTGAGGACAGAGCCACTGCTACCTGCGATGAACTCACAAGCCAATAAACCAAAAATGAGCCTGTTTAAGAGGGGTGGGGTCACAACTGGCACCCCAGTGCAGGGGCCTCACCAGAAAAATTATTCAGATCCCTCTCTGGACATCCCTGTCCTTACCCTGCCCAGAGCAGCCCCAGCTCACCTCAGCTTGCTGGAAGCCTCTGAGCTGGGACTCACCACCCCTGACACGTCTTTCCAAACCTCCAAAGGCTGATTTCCAAACCTCCAGCCACTGATTGCTGCTGGGTTTGAGAAGAGCAGCTAGAGCAGGATGGCTGCTGCTGACCCCTGAAGCAACAGCAGAGGTGTAATTTGTTATGGGATTAATTCTTCCACCTCACTGCAAACCTCAATGAGCCAAAGAAAATATTTCATTCCTGCTGTCACACTGGGTTCATTTACCCCGCGCTGCCTGTGGTAGGATTGATAGGAGCAGAGCTGCTGTGCTCAACACTTCTACAACTCATTAATGTTTGAGAGACTTTGATCCCCTCCATCGCTCGCTGAAGCATCCTGAGCTCTGCAGTGGAGCAAAGACAGAGGCTGGGCAGCCACGGGAGGAGCAAGGGCAGGAGACAGCTCCAGCAGCCAGGGAGATATCAGTGAAACACCCCAGAGAGAAGCAAATTTCTGATCAGAGGGACAGGATCATTTCCCTCCTGGTAGGAGTATGGAGCAGTGGAAGTACAAACCAAGTAAATAAAGCTAATTTCCAGCCCTCGTGGGGAAACCTTGAGAATGTGGCTCAAACACTCTGAAAAGAACACAGTGTGACTGACAACAGTTTCTAATTTGCTGCCAGCAAGACTTAATCAGCAGTTTGTGCAGAGCCATCCAAGCAAAAAGCACCAAAAATAGAGAGCTTTTCTCCACCTCCTCCTCTGCAGATAATTTACGATGTCCTCGCAAAGGAGGAGTGACAAGCACCCATGGCAGCAGTGTCAGATAAGTGTGGTACTTTCTGTGAACTGCAGCCAGCTCAGCAAGCCAGCGTGTGATGAATGACAGGAAAACCATGGCCTGGGCTCACTTCTCTGTCACTCATCCCTGTGGGGATGCACAGCAATTCCCTTCACTCCCCTGTGCAGGGATCTGAAACGCTGCTCAGCAGTCCCTGCTCTGTGTGCTGGGCTCTTTGCTCTTACCACAGCAGCACTGAAGACAAGAAGAAAGCAGGAGCTGACCCCAGAGCAAGGCTGGCAGCCTGCAGCAGGGGCAGCCATCCCCTCTGCTCTGACTCCAGCCTTAAAGACTGAAATGTTTTGGTTGTACACTCAAAGTGGCAAATGCTGTCAGAATTAGCTTTTACATTCTGTGCTGCAAGAGAGAGAAGATGGTCTTTAGAAAAAGCAGCAGCTTTTCTGTCAACTGCACTGCGTGACTGTCTTGGAGTTGAAATGAAAGGAGAAAAGAATTCATGAGAAGATGGTCTTTAGAAAAAGCAGCAGTTTTTCTGTCAGCTGCACTTGCAGCCAACTGTGTGACTGTCTTGAAGTTGAAATGAAAGGAGAAAAGAATTCATTTAATTCAACTGGAAACCATGAGACTCCCATAATAATCAGGGTTATGGTTAAACTTGCAAATAGGTATCTCCCAAGTGCAAAGAGACCATTTGTTTCTGCTTTTCTGTCTGAATAAAGCAGGGCTCCTTCTCGCCTGCTGCTGTGTTCCAAGCAGCACAACTCCCAGCTGAGGAAAAGCACTCGCTGCCTTGCCAAGACAACATTCTTTTACATGACTAGCTCTTTCCTCTGTAGTTATTAATGTGTCACAAATCATAGGCTCAGATTGTCTAATATTATGGGAAAATCTACTAGAAGGAGAGAAAAATAAAGGAAACTTCCAGGGAAATTGATTAAAGGGAAATAAGAAATTTGACCCAATTTAATGGAACAAAATACGGTCAATAATAGAAACTATTTACATTCCTCAGGATGGACACACGGTTCTTTAGCAATAAGTTTTGTTTGTTTTGCTTTTTTAGCACCTCGGAACATCTATTATAAGAACACGGTTTTGTCTCCTCCTCTCGTGCCAAGTGCAATTTAAGTTTGCATTTTAAGGGATTCATGAGCACAGCTCAGAGTCAGCAAACATGGACTCTACAAAGCAAGAACTGCGGCAGACTTTGGGAAGGTTAAACAGGATTCATTAGAATAAAAACTGGAGTGGAGGACACTCCTGAGCCTCACGCTCAGACATTTGCACAAAGCAGTTTTTGGGTGCTGACAGAATGGAGCACAAGCTGCCCTGCTACCCTGGATTCCATCTGCTCCAGGATGCTTCAGTCCAGGAGGGCAAACAGAACTGGGGCACCCAGCCTGACTCCCAGAGGTCATGACAAACCTGTCTCCTGGAGAGGCAGCGCAGGGTTAACAATTTCTGCAACACCAGAGCCCACCCACTCCCCAAGAAATGAGCTCCAGCTCTTGGTGAAAGGCAAAGGAATGGAGCTGACATTACAGAAATCGTCCTCATGGCTCAAAAATAACAGTCTGCAAGTGCCAAACCTCTCCAGGGGTGATTTTCCACGTGGCTGTGTTTGAAGGGACAGGTGACCTCAGTCACCCCTCACCTGCAATGTCACCAGCAGCTCTGTCACAGCCCTGCTGGCCCAGCAAGAACTCACCCCCAGCAGCTGGATCCAGGCTAAAGCAGCGAGCTGTCCCACAGGGATGGACGTGGGGACACGGCCAGCCCTGAGCAGGGAGGGGACAGCAGCCAGGCCAAGCAGGACACGGGCTCAGGAGGCTCAGGATCCCCCGTGGGGCTGGCATTCACTGCACCAGCAGCAGGAGAAGGGATCCTCTCACCTTTCCAGCACACACCTACAGCAGCGTGGCTTCCCACACCTGCCTGAGCCCTGCTGCTACAGTTCTCAGAGGGTTTCAAATGCCTTTGCCTCCTCAGTGGCTTCAGGATGAATCAACAGGCAACAGCAGAAAAAAAGCTGCTGAATTGCAGGCTTGTCTGGGTCTGAGGTCCATTTTGAGGCACAACTGATCATCTAACAGCACATCCACCCCCTGGTCCTCCCACACAGCTGCCTGGGGAGGAACCCGCTCGGGGTGATGCTCTGAACCTGTGAAATCCCCTCCGAAAATCTGTATTCTCAGAGCAGGAGGCAAAATGCCTTTGCCTCCTCAGTGGCTTCAGGATGAATCAACAGGCAACAGCAGAAAAAAAGCTGCTGAATTGCAGGCTTGTCTGGGTCTGAGGTCCATTTTGAGGCACAACTGATCATCTAACAGCACATCCACCCCCTGGTCCTCCCACACAGCTGCCTGGGGAGGAACCCGCTCGGGGTGATGCTCTGAACCTGTGAAATCCCCTCCGAAAATCTGTCAAGTGCTCAGTGTGACACAGATGAGGTGGAATCAACCAGCCCTCTGAAAAGCAGCTGTTTCGCAGTTCTTGCTTCACTGCAGCTAATGATCTGCTGACACTGGTGGGAATTCCTCGGGATCAGCTTCTGGGGAGGAGAGCACTCGCATACTCTGTTGGTAGCAACAGTGCTGGGGGAGCCCTAGCAAGGGAAACGGGCCGTGATCCTGGAGCTGCTGCTCACCAGGGCTTCCCCAGAGGGACAGCATTTCTGCCACCAGACAGGGGGGATCCTGAGGAGAGCCCCTGGGGATTAGGGTTCTCAGGTGGCCGGGTCAAAAAACACCCAAACAAACCAGAAAACAAAGGGGGAAAAAAGTGAATGCCAGCAGCACAGAAGGTGGGACAAGAAGAAAACATCCCCCAGCCCCAGGGCACCTGAGCTCACCTGGGACTGCCTGGGAGCTCTGCAAGGCTGCAGATTGGCTGGGACAAGCTGAGGTGACCATCTCTAGTGAGATTTAGGCTGCATTGCTAACGCTGGCTGAGCCCCCTGATGTTTTTAACTATCTTCCCAGAACCGGGCTGAGATCAGGAAGTGCTACTGAAATGCAAAAGCAGTGCTAAATATGCAACATGCACACTAAACGGCAGAGCTTAGTACTCCAGGTCACTTCATTCCCTGCTTCCTCAAGCTCAGAAAAGCACAGTCCTTAACATATCTCCCCAAACTGCCTGTATAGCCACTGTTCCAAAAATAAAGCTTTCTCATTTTATTTCCTTGAGGATCAAATACATTTTTTCTTGTAGGAGCTTTGCTGTCTTCTATGCAGCCAAAATTTTAATACTTTAATTATAAAAAACCCTCACTAACAATAAGCCACTTATACTTCTATCTCCACCCTTGGCTTTTTAATACCCCTAAGACTCATCAATGCAAAGACATCTCAGAATAAATGCCTCAACATCTTAACCAAAGCTCTGCCACAGCAGTCACTGCACAGGCAAATTAGGTGTGTGCATACAGCTCAGAAAAATGTGATTTATTCTGCAAACCATGCCTGGATTTCTGCTTGAAACGCAGTGATGGGCACAAATACAACATGCCATTGTGTTTGGGCCCTAGGAGAGCCTGCCTTACTCATACTTGCTTTTCCTGAGGAGAATTTGAGTAGGTGGGGGGTGATCCGTGGGGCTCCCTGCGGGATCCAGGACCAGCCTCCCCTGCCCTGGTGCTGTTTTCCTGCCCGCAGGGTGTAGGAGTTACACCTGGAGTTTCCCCACCCCAGGAGCTCCTCATGGAGCGCTTCCTTTAGCAAATGGACCTTTGTTCCAGCAGGGACACGCTTGGGGTGGAGGCCACTATTGTTTCAGCCATCTGCTCCCACGGAGGAACGGGACAATTTCCTATGGACAGAGGGGGTGGCTACTCCCACTGCTGTCCCTTCCCCATCACAGCGCCCAGACACCTCACCCAGCTGCTAAAACGCTCTGGCAGTTGGTACCTTCTCAGAAACACTGCCAAGAGATCATCCACAGCCATCATCCTGTCCCAGCCTTGCCTGGGTTATTCATTTGTACTGCTTTTTAAAAAGCTGCCATCAATAATTCAGCCAGTTTGATTTCCCACCCAGAACTGGCTCCTCTCATCCTGAGCAGCTGTATTTAAGTAAAGTCTGCATCTCAATAAATACAACTCACACACGAGAGACTCAATGGCTTTCTTCACATGACTTATGGCAAGGCAGGTTCTGCTAAAGGGGTGAGTCATTCAGCAAAGGCACAGGAAAACTGTTCATTATATATTTGTGAAATCCCCAAACCACCAAAAAGGCACCACTTAACAACAAAAAGCATCACAGGATGCACAGGAACCACTAAAGTGGGCAGAACCCTTCCAGAAATGACTGTGACACGGGGGGCCTCATCAGAGGCCTCTCTTTCTCAGGATCCAGTCAGTTATAACGAGTGGGAGGTGCAGGCTCTGAGCTCACACACTTATGGGATTTGCACTTGAGAAATCAAAACTGCCAGTTTTCTTCTGTCCCTCAGGGGAATACCAGAACCACCTGTGCTTTCCCTGCTTGAGCCTCCTGAGCTGTGCACCCCTTGGCACTGACAGCTAGCAAAAGCAATGACCAGAATGCACGTGAGCCTCAGAATCAGAGCCGTCCCTGCGTTTCAGCCGTGCTCCTGCCACAGCTCACACCACAGCACTCTGCTCACTCCTTTGGCACAGCACTGGCCACAGTGCTCAGAGCCAGCCCAGCCTGAATTCAAACCTTCAGCCACCTGCCAGTTTGTGGAGGACAAGTTCTGATTGTGCCTCCACTCGAAACAAAGCCAGGAAAGCAGAAAGCTTGCACACTTTGCCACCAGGGACAGCGCAGGTGTGTCCCTACACACCCCCAGGCTGCTCCTTGGATCCACCCGGGAGCCAGCAGCACCCAGCACAATGCACTGATAATGAACTTTGCAGAACCCCCAGATTCTCAGCACAGAGCTTGCTGCCCTCACAAGCCCCAGGCACCCTGAAGAGCCACCTGCCCTCCAGAGCTCTCTCAGGACAGGGAGTGCCCACAGGGCAGAGCTGCAGCCACTGCCCGGCTGGCACAGAGGGCAGGTGCCAATTATTGGAGTTGTGGCATCTATTAACGAGCAAGAGAAGGTATAGCCATGGTCAAATTCCCACCCACCACTGCAGGCACTAGAAAGACCTCCCAGGCATCAGACACTTAACTATTCCGTTATCTAGGCTCTGTGTTCCCAGATCTGAGGTATGGGAGTTTTAAACATCCAATATTCAGTATAATCTCGACTCTTGCTTTATTTCTGTCACAGCATACTGGTACCATTAATCTACAGCATGTAAAAAAAGTGTTTCATCTTTACTTATAAATTATTTGTAACGTTTGCCTTATTTTTTAAAGCATACATTAACACAACATGTGCAAGCTGTCATTCAAGGAACACGAACACTCAAACCTGCGGGCTAGCCAGCCCGGAGGCAGAGCAGGGGTACTCACAGCACTCGATGGGGTTGGAGGCGGCCTGCAGGGACACGATCCTGCCGCTGGGCTCGGGGATGTGCACGCGGAACACCAGGCGCACCCGCGTGTTCTTGCGGCCGATGTCGGTCTCGCCCTTGCGCAGCTCGATGTCCGCGTTGCGCAGCTTCAGGATCCCCGCGCAGTCGATGCTGCAACACACACACACAGCCAGGGGATGATCCCCAGCTCACAGCCCTGCCAGGACGGGCTTCCTGCTCTGGGCTAAGGCAGCTCTAAGGATGTGCTCTGGTTGGGATGCAGACATTCCCAGGGAAGAAACCCCAAAGTGCAGCACGCGAGGGGCGCTGCTGGAGCTCTCTCCTCTCTCTGGCCACTGCTCTCCAAGCATTAAAACCCCAAATCTTGTTTCCCAGGGCTAAGCACAGGAGAGCAGCAGGCAGAGCCCTCCCCAGGGTAGGAGCCTCCATCAGCAGCTGTCCCCAGAGCCCAGCTCCCAGGGCCTGGCCAGCATCCCTTCCCACACCCAGGCAGGGCAGCTCTGCCCCATGGGGAATCACAGCAGCTGGGTACAGAACCCCCACTGCCTGCACCAGCCAGGCACGTGGAACTCAGCTCCAAAGCAGGGACCAGACTGCTGTCTCCTCCTGACTGCCACACTGGGCTCTGCAGCCTGGCCCAGGTCGCTGTGCCATCCTCCAAAGCCCGGGGACATGTTCCCAGGCAAGGCAAGAGCAGATATTCACTCTCCCATTCACTGTGTCCCTGCACAAAGGGAGGGGGCAGGGAGCAGGATGGGGCTGAGCAGCAATGAAAGGATTAGGATTGCTTAAATCAGCACTGCAACTTAATATTTGGTGTAAGTGCAGATTAGCTTCTCCAGAGCCCAGTGTAACCTTGCAAACATGCCTGTGTTAGGAAAATGTGACAATTATTTGTCAAGCTCAGCAATAGCTCTCAGAGCAGGCAGTGAGCACTGCTATTAAGCAGGCACTGCCAGCCCATTTTGATATCAGTTCTAAAAACACATCATTTCTCTTCTCTTGATATGAATTAAAATCATGTTTGGGGAGGTATAAGCCCCAAGCTGCTCCCTACACCCACACTGTTCCTTGCCCTTGCATATGTACAGGGGTTTATTATTCCAGGGTTCCTTGTTAGGAATGAGGTATATTTTAAAAAAAAAAATATGAAGAAAGAATGTGGATTTTGCAATGAAGTAGGGGGGCTTAAAAACAGAACTGCTCTGCCAATTTTGTCAGGCTCCTCTGAAGGATGGAGATACAGCTCTTCCCTCTGCAGAGCAATCACTCTCACACCTGGCACACATTCAAGCCTGAAGTTTTCAGACTGGTGCCCACTTCATCCCTCTGCCTCCATAAAACTGGAAGGAGTAATACAGACAAGATGTGCCTGTACTTGCTTTTCTATTACAAGAGGAGATTTCACGGCCAGAGCACTTGACTGAGTTCAGCAGAGATGTTTTGTAGTCCATTAAATGCTGTGAAATGCATCCCCACCCCTGTTCCTCACTGTGTCCCTGCAGCACAAGGACTTGAGATGATTTGAGTCTTCTTTTCCTGAGTGCACTGCAAACCCATTCTGACTGTGAAGGTGATGGATTAGTGAGACACTGGATGCCTCATCCCTGGCAGTGCCCAAGGGCAGGCCAGATGGGGCGTGGAGCAGCCTGGGATGGTGGAAGGTGTCCCTGCCATAGTGGCACTGGATGGGCTTTAAGGGCCCTTCCAACCCAAACCACTCTGTGATTACAGCACAGCCACTGCAGAAACTGGAGTACAGAGCAGCAGTGCCTGCATGGTCACCTGCTGGATGGGAACTGTCCCAGCAGCTTTAACCCACGTGCTTGTAGCTGCCTTTGTAAAAGGGTCTTGCCCTCATAAACCATCCCAACATGCTGGGAAGGGAAATCCCTCCAGAGCATCATTATCCTTTTAAGTGACTCCTTTCCAAAGAGAAAGAACTTCAGCACCAACTTAACCCACCTCAACTTTGCTAACAAAAAGAAATCTACTCACGTTGCTTTCATGTTGTTTTTGGGCTCCAGGGGGATCTCTAACACTTTGGTGTTGCCGATGATCTTCTCGTAGCTGGTGGTGGTGACGGTTTTGCCCGTGATGCGGTGCACCTGGTAGAAGGCGTGGGGCTTCAGGATGCGCTCGTCCGCCGTGCCAATGAAGATCTGCAGCCCCAGGGGCTTGTTCTCCATGTACCCGTGCAGCTGGCAAGACACGAAAAAGCTGCTGTCACACACTGGGCCTGCAGAGCCCTGGGGAAAGCAAGGAGATCTGCAGGCACCTCAGGGAAATGTAGGTATCTGCCCCTGATTCAGGGCTCTTGGAAGCTCATCCTTCCCCCAGCTGCTGGTTCACCTTCAAGCATTCCTCTTGCACTACATTGTACAGGTAGAGATGGCATTTTGGGTCTGGGACTGAACAGCACAAGGATGTCGTAGCTGACCTTAGAGCCTGGGGTTTCCAGGCCTCAAGGACACAGATTCTTCTGGTTGTTTTTGGGGTTTTTTTTATAAACACCATTTGCTGTGAGGAAACCAGAATGCCTCCATAGAGTGGGAGACAAGGAAATTTCTCCTTCTTTATTAACGTTCAAAATTACAAATCAAACCATTCTAAATTTCTCACATGACCAAAAATGAGAACCAGACATTTATCTACCACATAGCCAGGAATTGAGCTGAAAGGGAACTTTATGGTCTGAGACATGCTAAATTTGTTTTCAATTACTCTGTCCACATACAAAACCTTGATGAAGCCATACAAAGCAAATAGTACTGGAAGATCAGAGAAAAGGAAGATTAAGCTAATGGTATTCATGGCCAAACCAGGGTTTTTTTCCCTTTTTTTCTTTTCACCAGTCAGCAGGAGGTATCCTTGCACAGAAGGATTAATTCCCCCCTGGAAGGGGACCACATGCAGCATCAATGCAGTGCTGGCAGCCTTCCTCCAGTATGGCAGATGTAAGTGACACTCACTCTCCAGAGCTCTCTCTCCTCATCCAGCACTCACTCTGGAGGCAGCAGAGGCAGGGGCTGTGCCCCAGAGACCCCTGAGGCAGGGCCTGAGTGAGCAGCCTCCCCTGGCACGAAGAGCCCATGAATGGCTCCATTGAAGGCACCAGGCTCTAGGCAGGGGCTGTGCAAGAGCAAACTGCAGAGCCCAGCCCAGGCACAGCCCAGACTATCCCAGCCCTGGCTGGCACCAGCGTTCTGGAGATGGGGAGGAGGGAATGGGGCAGGAGGCTCTGTGCAAACCTTCAGCTGGCTCTGGGAGCCAGGGGAGGAGCAGGAGCTGGGCTCGGAGTGCCATGGCTGGTATGGACACACAGCACGGCCAGGAATGTGAGAAATACAGCAGCAGCCACGGGCACATTTAGAAATGGATAAAGCAGATGGGAGATGAAAGGCAACAGAGGCCAAACTGACAGATCTGCTGGGAACAGGCACTGGTGGAGGAGTCAGCCCCTGCTGATCCACTGGGAGCCACACAGAAACTCACCCTAAGCACAGGACTTTCAGCATCCAGCATTTCCTGGCCTCCAGTGCAAAGCCCCTGCATCACCAAAAGCCATCCTGTCTTCACAAGGGGCGAGGGGAAGAGCAGTTTTTAAGCACTGAGTGTGTTTATTGTCATGTCTGACAGAGTAACTCTCTGTGGATCCAGCTACAACAACGAGAGCATCCTTTGGACAGGAGGGGATATTACAGTGACAGCAAAGCAGCTTTTGCCCTCCCCTCTGTCCTGGCAGAACAAAATCCCAGAGTTATGGGTGGGAGACTGAAATGGAGGAAAACAGATAATAAATTACAAAAGAAAATCTGCCCCCAGTGAGCACAGTCAGTAGCAGCTGTAACAGAACTGGCTGCATACACGGGGTTTAATACTGGCCACCTTTAAAAGTAATTTTAAGTGGTGTTTGCTCATGTACAGAATGAGTTCCCAAGACACAACTGCTCATGGCTGTCCAATAATGTGCATGTCTGTGGGTGTGTGCTGTATAAATGCACACAGTCTTAAAGAAGAGAGGAATTGATTCCCTGTTCATACAGCACTGTCTGTATCATCTGCTGGCCCAGGGGCATAAAACACACAGTAAAAGGCCTCCTGATCCTCCACAGAACCAGATTTTAAATCAGTTTGGTCAGTGGAGGAAAACTACTTTTTTTTTTGTAATTTATGGTATTATGGCAATACTGTGGGATGATGTAATTGTAAAATCAGAATAGCATTATAAAATGCAAGAGAAAATATATATGCAAAAGAGTCAAGTGTCCCCATTTAAAAGGGTTTATCCTTGAGCTAATTGATTACATTTTCAGGGCTAATATAGGTGATCATTTACCATAACCATTTCCATCTACCTTCCACTTGCTATGATCACAGCAGGATGACTTAAGAATAAAAAACTGGAGATGAACAGCTCACAGAAACAATCCAGAAGCTTGAAAATCAGAGTTCTCCACTCATCTTCACCACCAATTTAGCACAGCTCTGGTCATGTCACACCAGCTCTCTCTTTACCTGCACCAGGGAGCAGTGATGCTCACCCTGCTCTGTGCTGCTTCTGTGTAGAGAAAATTCTGAGCTCCAATGAAAGAACCCACCAAAGCTATGCTTCAGAGACATCTCTTCTGAAAACTGAACTGCTGAGGATTGTCACTGTCAATAAACACTCACTCCACTACAGCAGGCAGCTGCTTTAATATTTAACCAAAGCGCCAATCTTTTCTTTGGAGAAACAAAGGAGGAATAAATTTGACCCTTAAACAAATTTTGAGAAGTGAAGATTTAAAATGCTTTTTAAAATACTAATTTTGAAATTTTTTTTCTCCCTTAGCAAGAACCAAGCTGCTCTAAAATCTGTGTTTCAGTGTTTTTCTGCTCATCAGAGCTGCTCCCTCCAAGCCCTTCCAGGGCAGCACCAGCCTCACACCAAGGTGTGCCTTCACTCTTTCTCACTCTTCTTTCCATGAAGAAAACAAAATCATCTGGATTTCAGTTTCCAGAGAGCGAGGATCAAGAAAGATTTATGAATACAGAACTCTGGGAGGAAATATTTTTGTGTATTATAAGGTGACCTATTCACAATAAAACTCCCCCAAACTGTATACAGATCGAGCTGGAAAAAACCCAACTCCTTTGAGTCACATTTGCCACAAGGGGAAAGAGAAGCCAGACATGATGTGTACCTTTCCATACTCTATTTTGGGACTTTAAGATCCTATTTCTTTCACTTAAAAGATCTTTCTTAAACTTCGTTTTTGCCTAACTCTTACAATATTAACACAGCCAGACATGGGCTGGTCTGTGACCTGAGGAAATGCAAAGCACTTTGGCAGATAAACAAATAACATCATTCCAAAAACAAGGAGACTTTTCTTGTTTGGTTTGCTGCTATGATTTGGTTTCTAAACAAAATGGAAATGTGTGGCACGATTAAAAGCATCATCTCTCCTCTGCAGAAATCAAATTCATTCTGCACTCCATCCATGGATCAATACCAGTCAAATTTGGGAAAGGGGGGGATTTGAGTGCCATTTGCAGAAGGCACCTGTGCAATTCTGCATGCAAAAATGAGCAGATGTGCCCTCAGCTGCTGAGTTTGTCCAGTTACACACCCAACACCCTCCCTGGCACCACAGCCATCGGGAGCACACATCAGGCACATGAAACACTTCTGTTCTCCTGCTCTGTTCCAAAACTCAGGTCACGTCACAAACTGAGACCCCAGCTCCAAACACACAGCACTCAAAGCCAGAGGTTAATTCCCTTCTAAACCACTCCCTACCCAGGGCTGAGACGACCCAAACCCTGCACCCAGGCAGCTGGCAGTGCCCCTGCCCGGGGGATGTGAAGCACAGGGTCACTGCTGGGCTGCACAAAGAGCAGAGCTCTGCACAGGTGAAGGCTGCAACACTGCCCAGTTGTGCTGAAATCAAGGGATAAAGTGACAGCAGAGTCAAAAAGCAAGGCAAATTCTTTAAAGATTCTGTAGGTGATCAGCTGTAGATGCAACATATCTATACAAGGGGAAATCAGTGCAATTTTGAAATGTATATATTTCAATAGAATATGCTTTCTTGAATTTAAATATTATTATAATTTATGCAGAATTACATTATTAGCAGGAAGAAGAGCAATTCATAGGAAATAGATAAGATTACTTTTTTATTCTTACCCACGAGCCAGGCCAGAGAGGGGCAGTGATTTCTCAGGTCCTGCAGAGGATGAGCAGCCAAAGCCCAGAGAGAAACCCGTGGTGCCCTGTGCCCTGCTGCAGGGAATGCTGACCCTGTCCTGCAAGCCCCCCAGACTGGCACATCAGGCACCCCTCAGCAGCTGCAGCACCTCAGCTCCCAGCAGGATTGCAAGCTTTGCCTTTTCACTGCTGGGCTGCGGAGCCAAATTTTCTCGGGGATTTCTAATTTGGCTGCTGCACATCAAAATGCTCTTTGCAGATGAAAGCAGCAGCATCTGCAGCTGGTACTGGTGTGTTTGAAGAGCCCCAGTAGGAGCCTGTGTGAGCCTGACTGCTCTAGAGAGTAAAAGGCAGTCGTTTATTTCCCGTTCACCCCAACAGAGCTCTGCCTGTCGGGCATTTAGGTCTTTCTCCCTGGGATGGACAAAGCTGCACCTTTAAAGCACCTTCCTGTCTAGACAAGGCAAGGAGGGAAGTATAAACGCGGGGAATGGATTCTCTAGGCTTGGGGGTTTTATCTGCTGGAAAGCACTCAGTTGGCCAGCTCTATGAGCTCAGGGTCACACTGTGCATCATGGGCTGTGTCCCTACACTGTGCATCACCGGCTGTGTCCCTACACTGCATCACCGGCTGTGTCCCCACACTGCATCACTGTCTGTGTCCCTACACTGTGCATCATGGGCTGTGTCCCCACACTGCATCATGGGCTGTGTCCCCACACTGTGCATCACCGGCTGTGTCCCTACACTGCATCACCGGCTGTGTCCCTACACTGCATCACCGGCTGTGTCCCCACACTGCATCACCGGCTGTGTCCCCACACTGCATCACCGGCTGTGTCCCTGCAAGTCGCTGGGATGTGTGTGCATGTGTGCGGTCAGCTCGGGTCATTCACACTCATCCCGGCCGGCAGCGACAGGAGGGAAAACAGCGCCCGGCAAGCAGCGTTTAACGAGCAGGGAGCACAGAGCCGTGAGAAATCGCTTCCTCCCGCGGCTGCCCTTCCTGCTGCTGTGCCGGAGATAAGCGGGGCCGCCCGTCCTCCTCCGCTCCGGCAGCGCCCGCAGCCCCGCGCCGGCCCCAGCGCTCCCTCCGAGCCCTTCAGCCCCTCCGAGAAGATGTTCTGGGCCAACAGCTCCCTTTCTGTACTCCCTGCCTGCTGCAAGCGGCTCCAGACTTGGATTTGGATCATTAATCCCCATCGTTAACAGCCGCTGACCACAATGATGCCGAGGATTTTTTTGGGGAGGTCTTTGCTCAACAATACTCGTAGCGAGATGGAAAATGTCACTGCATTGTCTCAGGGAGAGTGGCATATCAATAACTGTCAGGAATTCAACAAAGACCTCGTCCAGCCACTGTATCGTGTAGCAGCTCCTCCGCCTGCTTCAGTTAGGGCTGACATTGAGCAACAAAGCCCAATTTCTCACATGGTTTTGTTCAATTTAATGTACTCGGGACACTGCGAAAGAACGCGAACCAGAAGGAAATCTTTGCCTTAGCTCCTTTTGCTCCCTGTCAAAGCTCAAGAGGCCCCACAAGGATCCCAGTGTGCAAACGAGCCCTGCAGGTAAACCAGGTGTGAAAGGTGCAGTGGTTTGTCACACCACAACCCCTGCAGGAGCAAACCCAGCTCCAGGCCAGGCCAGTGGTGGCCACCAGAGTGGCACGAAGATGCTGTGCAGCACCAGGCAGGGCCAGCACGGCCTGGCCTTGCCCTTCCCTGCACAGGGGCCTCGGGAAGCTGGGGAAAAGGACAAACTCAGCTGCTGGCATGTGCCCTGGGCAGCAAGCCCCCCTGGGAGGGCTGACAGGGTTTCAGCAGCCCGGCCCCACTGTGAGAGTGCGAATCACCCCACGAGCTGTGATTTGGTTTTGAGTTTCCATCAAAGGCTCTGGTTTCACTAACACACCAATGAATTAGCCGAATGTTGGAAGTCACATACAGTTAAAAGTCAGAGCCCCATGGGAAGCCCAGGCTGAGAAACAATGTCTCCTTTGACTGCGAAACCACAAGAAAACACAGACGGCAAAATTCAAATATAAAAGGAAAGTGGAACATACGTTTGTTATTGCAAAGCAGCTCCTGTGAGCTCCACTAACAACTCTGCCATTCCAGCTTCTTTTTAATAAGAAAAATAAAAAGAGGCAGTGAAAGTCACCACAATTTTAAAAGTTAGAGCCCAGGGGAACGTTGGGCTGGCCGTGCTGAACAGGAGCCCCTCTCTGCACAGTTTTCCTGCTCTGGAGAGGAGAAGGAGAGGAGCCTGGCACACAGGGCTGGAGGGGCTGGGGCTGTGCCTGCCCTGCCCTCACCTGAGCACGGGGATTTTGCAGCCCTGCTCTGCATTTGGGTGTTGTACCAAGGCAAACAGTGGGGATTTAAGCTCTCATTACACGCCAGGGTTGTGTTTGCTCTGCTGTCTCTATCCCAATCACATCCACAAGCTCTTTGCACAGGAGCAGCCACTGCCTTTCCCAAGGACAGGCTCTTCCACAGCCTTCCTGGAGCAGCTGGGCACAAATAAGCAGTTTTGGGGAAAAAGAGCTGGGAACCAAACGTGCCTGCCCCGCCTCTGTGGTCTCAGTGACCAGGGGGACCCACAGGATGGAAGGAGCATGCAAACTTCAGCTTTGCCCTGGCTACAAAGCATCTCCTGGCCATTCTCAGCACCTTAACATCCAGGGATGCTCACATCCAACTCACATCCCTAAAACCTGAGCTCTCTGCAGTTAACACAAGCTGCAGGCTCCTCCCAGGAGTGACTCAAACACCTGAGCTCAGAACCTGTGCTTCTCCACAGGACTCCACACATGAAATCAGACATGTGAGCATTCCAGGGCACGCAGGGCTCTCCCCTGCTACTGGCACAGCCCATGTCCCACTCCACCTGCCCAGCTTCCAGAGCCTTTGACCACCAGAGCCTTCTCCTGCCATGCTTGGAGTGCACAGTGGGTGCAGAGCCTGGAGCACAAACCCGAGGCGTGACACGTGAAGAAGAGGAAGCAGCATCAGAAAGATAAACCACAAGATAAGGTTCAGAGGATATGAGATCTGCTGGTCTGTAGCTTCAGAGCACCCCAAAGAAGAAATCTGCATGCAAAATGCATTTTCCAAAAAATAAACATGGCAGGGCAGCACCGTGCTGCAAAAACCAGCCAAGATCCCTTCTGCCAGCAGGTTCAGCTGGGTAATTAGTCATGTGGAGGGTTAATTGAAGGCTTTTTTAAAATCAGATTTGTTTCAAAAGAGATTGTATTAGAAAAATACTCTGTTTAATCTAACAAGAACACAAAAGTTAAACTTCACAGAGGGGAAAGAAGGAGAGTGGGAAAAAAAAAAGATCCCTTGAAGCCAAATAACTTCTGACATGAAAACTTTGGATTTTACTAGCCTCCCCCAGTCTGAGATGCCATAAACCATACAGGTGCAACTATCTCATTACTTGGCATCCATATGAACCTGGTTATGTTCAAGTGAACACAAATTCAACAAATACTTCCAGCTTTACAAGAAAGCTTCAGAAAGAAACTGCCCATATTTTCCCCAGATGCAGGCCCAGCTGTGCAGAGGCACATCTGCTTGGGGAACTGAAGTGGACATTTGAATTTATAGCTTTAGATCCTGAAGCTTGATGGCAAATTATGATAAAACTAGCAATATTGGTTCCTGTCTTCAACAGAAAATATAAATGCCTCTTTGATTGATATTGATTGCAGGAAGGAAACAAATTCTATTTCCCCATGCCACAAGAAACTCCTTCACTGCAATAAGGACCCTGTTGGTAGGAATACCTTGGGAGGGTAAGTGATACTGCAGTTGCAAGCAAACTGAGAAAGGAGAAGTGCTGATTGGTATCATTCCTGCTTCTAGGCAGCTTCAAACACACCACAGGAGGCTGTGAGCTTGTCAGACCCAAACCAAAAAGCCTGCATTGCTGGGGTATGGCACATGGGACTGCTGTTTATTATTACCCTGCACCCTCTACTCAAATACCCAGGCCATACATGTAAATCCAGCTCCATCAAAGCAAGCAAATTCATTGATTTAACAATTTATGGCTTGATTTTAAAAGGGGGTGAGCCTGCAGGGGAATACTGAACATATGCTTGAAGTTAAGCACAAATCAACCCAGTGAAATTAGTGGTATTGATCACATGCTTGAAATTACACATAAATGTTAATGTTTTCCTGGTTCCTGCAAGCCCTGAGCGTGTCAGGAACATCTGTGGGATGCAGCCAACTTTGTTTAGTGAAGGCTGAGGCCGTGGCTGACCTGTTCAGCTTCCACACATCATTCAGCTTCCACACTCTCCACTGACACAGCACAGCCCCGACCCCAGCCTGGCTTTGGCTTTCCTTCAGGAAACGTGGGCTGAAAACAGGGGAAATGAGGGAAATGACTGATGTGCCCCCACTTGGCTACACCGCAGCTACTCAGCCAGTATTTTATACCACCCTTTGAAAGGTGAAGGAAAAGCTGTTCACACTCCAAACAGAAGAAGGGTTCAGCTCATTCAGCTCTCAGGTCAGCAAAGGGACGAATTTGTTCTCTCCACCACTGACAGCCTGAAATTTGCTCACTTGTTTCAGCAGTGACTTCCCAGGCACCTTATGACAGTTGTAACAGGGGATCACACGAGGTTCATACAGCCCAGAAAAGGCAGCAAACACATTTCCCACATTTCTGAGCTTTCAGAAGCCGATCCAAACCAACCTTCCCCAAGTCCTGGACTTCACCACGGCTCAGCACATCCAAAACCTCACAGGGCGCTCCTCTTCCAAGGACAGCCCCCATAAGGATTTCAGAGATGAACCTGCCCCCCCTTTTCCTCCAGGAGATCCCCAGGGCCTTACCTGGACCACGGGGTGGCCGCCGGTGGGAGCCTTGACGGCGCCGCGGCTGCCCTCGGTCTCGTAGTGCGCGCGGTGGTGGGGCTTGGGCTGCACCTCGATGCGCAGCTCGTAGGAGCCAGACTGGCTGGACAGGGGCCACTCCAGGGGAGGGAGGGACTGCACGGGCAGGCTGGGGCACAGAGAGAGAGACACACCACCAGGGAAACTCCTGAGAACCTGACTTCTCAAAGCCTGGTCCCTGCTTCCTCCCAGCGCCCCGCCTGAAACATTCAGGAGTCTGCCTGAATTCCCGTGAGATGGTGCTGAACTGCTCACATCTGACTGCAAGCTCTGCTGAGAAGACAATTTCTGTGGGCCCATCTCCTTGCAGAAGAGAGTAAGATATTTCTGTTCCTTAAACAGAAATACCTGCAGCAGTTACATTTTTTCAAAGATTCCCCTCTTTTATCTAGCTTTTGTTTTTTCAAAGATCCCCCTTTGTAATCTAGCTTTTGTTTTTTCAAAGATCTCCCTTTGTAATTTAGCTTTTGTTTTTTCAAAGATCCCCCTCTGTTATCTGGCTTTTGCTGTGTGACTCCAACTTGGATCACAGCACATGTATTGTGAAATATTAACTCCATTTGCCACTACCTACCAGTTGTGTAAATTAACAATTGTTATGATTTCCATAAATATTAAAGTGCACATCAACAAAATGATAAATATTCTTACCTGGTACTAGTTTTCTTGTTATGAAAATCCACAAGGGTATATGACATGGAATGTATACAGTGCAAGGTACAACTAAAGCCTGCACTGGATTTTAAACCACTGCCACTCTGTGAGTGCAGGCTGCTGCCAGGACCGGTCTGACAAGCCAAGGAAGTCACAGCCTGTGCTCCTTCACTCACAGTTTGTGTTCAGCAGGTCAGGAACACCCTGGGACAGCCTCAGTGGCCAGTGGGACGGCACTGACAGGGTGCCAGAAGGGACTGTGAGCAGAGTCACACACTTGGCACCCTGGCTCCTGGCAGATGCCACAGAGCCAGACAGTGGAGGGCTGAAATTTGGGCTAAGGGACAACTGACAAATTAACAACCAGCACTAAGTCACCAGAGCTGACCGAATGCTCAGCCTGACCTGGAGCAGCGAGCTCTGTTTGGAATCAGGCATTATTTAAAGCATTTTCATCCTTGATGGAAATTTGAAAGTGATTTTACAAAAGCAATGCCACCATTTCAGGAGCAGCAGGATGGCACCAGAGTGCTCAGCCTTTGTCAAAGGCTGTCTGCAATCTGCTATTGAGACAAATCATTTGGAAATTTGATTTTGTAGTGTATGCGCTATCAATGAACCTCTTTGGTGATGTTTCTTCAAAGCCCTGACTTTTTCATCTCAGAATCCTAATGGAGCAGGCTCCCCTGAACCACTGCTGTCCCTGAGCACTCAGCTCTGGCCTGCAGCAGGACCTGCCCAAGAAAACACTCCCTAGAGATCGTCAGCCATGACAGAGGACACCAAACCATGAAAAACCATGGAAAACACACCCACAGGAAGCATTACATACCTGCAGATTGGTATTGCAGGCACCAGCTGCTTTGTCCAGGATGGAGGAACCAACAGAATGGATTCCGGGGCCGAGTTTCTCCTGTCCTCCTGCTCACAGGGCCCGTGGAAGTCAACGGTCTGAAAGACGTGACACGGAATGCTGTTTTTGTGGGAAGACATGGACGAAGGATCGGGGCTGGTCTTCCAGATCTTCGTGGGGACGCCGCAGGAAGGATCCGCGGGGAGGCTGCTCATAGCATCCATGGAAAGGGGAGCGCTGGCCAGCTGTGTGTAAGTGACTGCAGAGGTGTCCTCTCTCGGGGGCACGCGAGGACAGGGCTGTGGAGAGGGGCTCCGTGACTGCCGAGGAGAGGCGGAGGGCAGCGGGGTGCCGTAGAGCCCGGTGCAAGAGAACCTCCGCTTTGCACCTGGCGACGAGGACCTTGAGTTGGGACAGGGTGATGGTGAGTGGCGTCCCAAGCAGGCTTCCTCCGTGATGCTTGTTCGTGGTGACATTATTGGAGAGGTTCTAGGAGAATAATGAGTATGGATGTTTTGAAACTGTGGACAAAGGTCATCACTAGGACCATTATTTGGTGAAACACATGGTGATGTGCAAGGAGATACATTTGTCTCTGAAATGAAACTTGCAGAGGAGCCGCTACTAGCTGGGCTCAGACACAGTGGTTCTCTGTAGCCCTCAAAGCCAGGGACAGGCAGGGTAACCCTCGGGCTAGTGGTGGCTGAGTTTGGCTGATGTTCTGCCAACAGAACATCTGTGTCTCTGCTGCGGAAGGGACCCCCCGAATGAATCAGTTCATGATATGGAGTTATTTCAATCCTAGGGCTCGGAGCAGAGGCCCCTGCAGCGTTGGCAGGGTGTGGAGGTGTTGGCCCTATGCTATCTGGCTGTCCATATCTGCCCATGGGATCTGCAGGAAGGCTAGGAAAAGGCAGGGGGCATGGCTTGAGGCCACAGTCCAAGACATCATGAGCGTATGTAACTCCAGAGGGTGGGCTGTTGGTTTTATGTGGAGTCGGTTCTTCTGGAAAAAGAAGGGTCTCTTTAAGACTGTAAATATTGTTACAGAAGCTGAGCAATCATGGATTAAAAAAATGCATATTTATAAACTGGCTGTGATCTGAGATTAGCTTATTATTTAATTCTTTTTTGCTGCAGTTAATGCCTGTGAGAAGTACTGGATTAAGAGCCAGGGAAGCCCAAGAGCTCAGGGCAGGTGCAGCATGGACAGAAGCACTGCAAACACCTCCAGCCAGGCTCCTGCTGCCTGAGCCTCCCCCGAGGGATCCCCTGGATGGGGCAGCAGAGTGTCAGCCCCACTGTCCAGGGCAGGGCTGCCCTCCTGCCAAGGACACCCCAGGCGCTGTCACTTTGGTCACATTTTGCCAACTAGGAGCTGGACTGAGACCAGCACATCACAAAATCACTTCCAAACAGGTCTACATAAAACCAAATGTTGAGGAACAGCTTTTGGAGAAGGGAGAAACACCTTCCAAACCCAGCCAGGAAAGGCTTCGTGAACCAAAGCTGAGCTCAAACTCTTAAATTGGAAAGTCACTTCTGTGTGATGATTTGTTTGGCTCTGTATCATGACAGCAAGTTTGGTGACAGGTTTCATGTGAGTTAGAAAACACATTCACAAATATTTGTTAGAGAAGAGAGACAGGGAGAAAGAATCCAGCCCTGTGGTTAAGGGCAATCACATTCCAATTTCAGCCCAGGGAACATTTTCAGACAGGGATTATAAAATACACAACAAGCAGAGTGTTCAGTAGAACTCTCTCTCTGCTGGTACTAAAAACCCTCCATTTTCAGAGATTCCCACTTTGCCCAGGCTGCAGGGCACAGGGATGCTCCCAGGGCAGCCAGAGCTGCCAGCAGCACTGCAGAGCCCAGCTCCAGCCTGGTCCCTGCACCCGAGGGTGTGCAATGGCAGTGGCACCCCAGAGAGCAGAGACATGGCAGGTACTCCCATGACACCAGCTCCTGGAGCTGCCCCGGCCTGGGAGCTGAATATTTGTCATCACACAAAAACATACAAAACATTACCAGGATATGTTTTTTAAAGATTTCAGTGTATCCAGCAGGAAATGCCGGAAACAGCTCCACAATTTGGGATTAATTCACCCTATCTGCTCGCTCTGGGCACAGATCAGTGCATGCCACAGGCAGAGGGTTTCATTTAAATATTTAAATTACCGTTCCAGCATTTTCTCTAACTCCTACATGACATTAGACAGCAATTCCCATGAGAAAATACCACACAGAAAGCCAGGCCGGAGCTGACTGTGCTTTCTGCAAAAGTAGCAGAAGTTCCTAGTGAAACTTTTGCATGCAGGGAGATTTTGACTTATTTTCAGCGGGCTTCTGTTCATTTTTAGGAACTGCTGAGCCTTTGTGTTCAGTGGGGAACCCCAAGAGCCAAGCAAACAAACCAGCACACAGAAGGGCTGGACAGGAGGGGAGCAGCACAGGACAGTCCAGCTTGCACATTTCTTAAGGTTCCCTCTGGCTTTTAATCCCAGCACACAGCTGTTTTGGGGACAGGAAAACAGCAACGAGTCACTGAATTCTGAGCCAGACATATTTTTAGCACTGTGATTTCAGAGCTCTGGCACTCAGGAGCAGTGTGTCATCCCCATCACTCAGGTCTGACACATCAAGCCTGGAGATTGCTGCTGAGATTGCCTTTGATCAGAACTCGTCACGTCTCTGCAATGAGCAGAGGAACACACCCCCCACAGCCCCAAACATCGCTGCCACCGCCCTGGGGACAGCCACCCCCATGCCAGCTGATGCCAGGGGCACAGCCAGCCCCAAGCAGAGCCAGGCTGGATGCCAGGCTCGAGGTGGGATTTGTGCAGCGACCAGCAGGAGCAGAGACCTCTCCAGGCTGAACAGGTGAGCCTTTCAGCTCCCCATGCAGCACACCCAGCTGGAGCTGCCCTCCCCACACCCTAAACTGAATTAGCTGTGCCAGGTACAGACAACAACAGGTATGGAACCAAAACTCAGCACAGCCAGCAGCAAAACCAGCGGGGGGAGGCTCATCTGAGGGGTATGGGACAAGCAAACGTATTTGTATGTGCATCTGTAATTGTAAAAGTGTGCTGAATAACAAACACACCCCTCACCCACAGTGACAGCCCATCAAAGCCCGGCTTCAGACGACGCACATTTTCTCAGCTTACCCTGAAACACTCCGTTTCACAGAGCACTTTCACCCTGGCACTGCCCCAGGTGTGAATAACAACATTCACACACACACACGGCAAGCCCCAGCCTGCCCCTGCCACCGGGACACAGCCCAGCCCAGCAAACACCCCCAGCTCCTGTGAGCAGCAATATTTACACTCCCCCGCATGGCAAGCTGGCAGCGCAGGGCCCGTGGGCACGGCTGCACAGCAGCCCTGCCCTGCCCCGCCAGGGCTGAGCCCTGACTCATCGGCAGGCTCTGGGAGCTCTGCCGGCCCCGAGAGGCACAACGCACCCACTGTCCCGGCCGCTGCCACCGCGGGCTGTCCCCATGGCAACGCCGGGATGCTGCAGGTGATGCTGCAGGTGATGCGGGCTCTGAGCTCACCGGGGAGGGATGCAGGGCTGAAGCAGCCACTGCTGCTCCCACAAATAAACGGCTCTTCCGTAGAAATCAGCAGGAGTTCTGCTTGCTGCTTCAGCCAGCAGGACAGAACTGGCTGCTCTGCTCCAGCCAGCTTGGCTGAGGTCAGGAATCTGCTCGAGGAAAGGGCAGAGCAAAGAGCCCCAGGAGAGGAGCATCACCAGCAGCAGAAGCATGCTCCTCTGTCTTTGTGAGGGGCAGAGGATGCTGGCCAGAGCTCAGCTGCTTTCTCTCTGCCCTGGCAGATGCCAGTGGGACACAGAGCCCAGGACACAGCAATGGCTCCAAGCAGATGGACCCAGCACCACCCAAGCTTCTCCCTGAGCTGCCAAGGAGAGCTTGGGTAGGGCAGCAAAGCTCACACTGCTGGTCCTCTGCCACGCTGGGATGGCAGGGAACAGCCCTGCCACCCTCCAGCTGGGCTCCCAGGGAGGGAGAGCCCTTACAGAGATCAGGAATGGGATGGATCAGCCCAGCAGAGGTGTGTTCCAAGGACTGAAGTGACTCAGAGGTACAGCTTTGCTCCCAAAGCTGTGCCACTCAGGTACGGGATGGATCAGCCCAGCAGAGGTGTGTTCCAAGGACTGAAGTGACTCAGAGGTACAGCTTTGCTCCCAAAGCTGTGCCACCTTCCAGAGTTCATCCATTTCTCACACAGCATCCAGAACACAGGCTGCAATACTCCAGCAAAGGACTGTCCTCCCCACTGCTGTTCTGATGGATAGCTCACACACAGCTCCTCAGCACGGGCAGCTCCAGCACTTCCCCCCTCCCTGCACTCAAGCATTTCCCAGCCTAAGGTTTCACTGCTGATTCACCCTCTGATTCAGTACCAAAAGATCCTTCTGCTTTCACAGGGGGGTTAAAAGAAAGCGAGTCTCACACCCAGGCAGCACTGGCACCTCCTCGTGCCCCCAGTCGCTCTGCTGCCAGCAAACATCCTTCCCTGTGTCACTCAGCTCCTCTCCCTAGAGCAGCCCAAGCCCTCTGGGATCCCACCTAAACTGCCCACAAGCTGCCAGCTCTCACTGCCCCTTCTCCCCACAGGTTTCACCCCCATGACTGTCTCTCCCACCACAGCAGGGAATGAAGCAGGGCCCTGGATGCTCCTGCACTGCAAATAACCACCACAGCAGCTCCTCTGCCAGGCAGCCCCCCAGGGGGAGACCCTCGAGTGCCCTCAGTAACCCAGGGAGAGCTGAATCACAGGAGAAAGACACCAAGGGATTTCAGTTTCAAAGGGCTTGACCCTTGATCTGCCAAAGTCCCTTTCACACACCTCTGAAGGGCAGAAAGGAAAAGGAAAAGGCTCCCGAGGCTCCCCAAGGCCAGGGCCACAGCAGTGTGAGCACACGTGCCTTGGGGAGGGCCACCCTGCGCTGCTCTAAAACAAGGCAGCGCCTGCAAAGCCAGCCACTTGCCAAACTCCCTTTCACACATCTCTGAAGGGCAGAAAGGAGAAGGCTCCCGAGGCTCCCCAAGGCCAGGGCCACAGCAGTGTGAGCACACGTGCCTTGGGGAGGGCCACCCTGCGCTGCTCTAAAACAAGGCAGCGCCTGCAAAGCCAGCCACTCAGCCAAATGTGACAATTAGCATGAAATTAGGGAATAAAGGCCCACCCAGCGGCTGCATTCCATGCTGGGTTTATCCAAACCATCCTCTAGGAAAAGCTAAAGATAGCCCTGTGCAGGCCAGGGGCACAAGTTGGGCTTTGACCTCACATCCGCTGGCTGCAGCTCCCGGGATTTAACTGCAGTCCCTCATTTGCATAAGTAAAAGAGACGATTTTCTTTTCTTAATTAACTTGCTTATTGTCATTTGAAGGGGCCAGTCCAGAGCTTCTTTGCATTTTTCAAAAGCCGAGTTGTCTGCTATTTACACTAACTGCTTGGAAGCTCCAAGTGAGAGCTGGTTTCCTGAGTGAAATCTGGAATTCTCTGGTAGATGTGCATATTTGCTTCTTTACGGCAGGGCTGAACACTGCCTCCTGTGTTCCTGAGCCAGCCCCAGGACCTGACAGCATGCACTTTCAGTTTTTTTTTCCTTTTAATAGCTTTGCATCTGGGAGAAGAAAAAAAAAAAGGAATGAGGCAAATTATTCAGGGCTTGACACCTACAAGACGTGGCAATGTCCCCGGGAGCCTGTCTACACACAAACAAGCATTTGGAGGAATATTAATATTTATGGATGCTCCCTGCTTCCCCTCTCTACACCACACACACTCAGACCTTGTAGATTCACATCAGCAGATGCAGCCTCAGAGCCTAATGAGCTACAAAGGGCCTGAGCCTCGGGAAATGCTCCTTCCCATCTGCATTCCTACCTGCTGCTCAGGGCAGGCTTCATCTGCAATCTGATTTAAACACAGGTTTGGTCTGGATTTGCAGAGCATCCCTCAGAGCATCAGCTCCCAAAAGGGCTGCTCTCAACATTAAAAATGATGTGGCATTCAGCTCTCAGCAGATCATCACAAAGTGAACCCAACAACCCTGGAGGGAGCTGCAGGGGCAGAGCAGTGTCTGCAGCTCAGCATTTTGTCTCTCAGCAGCCAGCAACAGGTGCTAGGGAAGAGCACACCCAGCAGCTATCAGAGCTCACTCCTCTGGGAGCCCTCATTTGCAGGAGCTCGTTTGGAAATGCTCATTAACTCACTCGGCATGTTTGAAACAGCTAAAATTTGGGCTGTCAGTGATACCACTACCAACACCTGCACAGGAGCTCTGCAGGGAATGCATCTCACACTTTTTTTGCTCAAAGGACACAGAAAACATCCTCAGTGGCCAAAAGAAATCCCAGCTTCCACCTGACAGCAGTGCGTGCCCTGCCCACACTCCCGAAATCCTGCTCTCCTGGGCAGGGCCCTGAGTTCAGCAGATGCTTCTTGTTTGTAAATCCTGAGAAGACTGCTAATTAAAGTCTGGCAAGTAAAGGTAAAAAACACTCTCTACACCACTGCTGCTTTGGAAATGGCTGGCTTCAAGAGGAACACCTAATATTAACAATATTGACTGCAGGGTTTCTGTTGACCCTTCTTTCCCCTGTTGCTGTTATAGCAGTCCATGTTCCTGTTGGCCCAGGCACACACAAGCTCTACTGAATGCCAGACACTTGCAGGAAGGATATTTCTGGCATCCCCATGACAACAAGTTGTGATATAGGTCCTGCTTTTAAAACACAGCTTTGGATGGATACTGCCAAATTCCAACCTTTCAAAAAACTGTTTATCAGGAATAAACATTCACCCCAGTCCATTCCTAGAGCCCAAAATTTGCAATTTTCCATACTTTTTTAGTTACTTTGGATGGATACTGCCAAATTCTACTACCTTTCAAAAAATTGTTTATCAGGAATAAACATTCAACCCAGTCCATTCCTAGAGCCCAAAATTTGCAATTTTCCATACTTTTTTAGTTTAAAAAATCCCTTTTAGCATGCTTATAGCTGTTATTTTAGGACTTGTCATGAGCAGTGGGTGGAGCAGCCCAGGCTGGGAGGCCTCCAAATGCAGGAACCAGGCTGAAGTGCTGGGACCCGCTCCTCTGGTTTTGGTTGCACTTTGAGTCCTGCTCTGCACAGGACCTGTTTGCCCGAGTGCAGTTCAGACGAGGCCAGGACTGCCCATGAACAATGAGCATCAGTTTCCAGCAGCACGTGGACAAAGCCCTTGCTCAGAAATGGACCATTTTCTGCTCTCATGTAAACATGCTTTAATCTTTTGTACATTGAAGGTTGCGGATGTGTCCTGGATTGCTTACAGACTGGAGCTGCTGCCTTTTCAAAGCCAGGGAGAATGTTCTCCAGATTACAATGCTCATATATACAGTTGGGATCTTTTTTTTGTTGTTTTAATGCTAATGATTTCCATCTTGGGAACAGAATTACTACTAATTATGGTTTCCAGTCATTCAAAAGTGAAGAAAGCAGGCTCGAGAAGGAAGTTACTTCTACAACAAGCACACCCTGCTCTGCATTTATGTGGTTTGAAGATTAAACTTTCTACCCCCACCTACGTATGATTATATTCTGTAGAACTTCCCACTTAAGGCTTCACAGCAGCACTGTCTACTGCAAAGCTGTGAACACACCAGCATCTGAAGCTTTCACTGATGTCCAGTGCATTTTCATTAAAATCATTAACCCCTTCCCATTGTGGATTTAATGTAGCTTATTTTGATTTGCATGAAACTTTGAAAGAAAATTCAGCTTTGTCCACCTGATGGCATGAACCATCCCCAGTCAGCTTCAATGCTGGTGCACATCTGTACACCTAAACAAGGACAGAGAGAATAAAACTCAGCAACAACTCTCCACTTCACTGATGACACCACGATTCAGGCCTCAAAGGTCTCCTCCTTCGGAGGAACACATCTCTGGGATGCCCCAGGGAAACACCAGCTCTCCACTGAGCAGAATCCAAACCAACGTATCCGTATCATAGAGACAATATCTTAACAAATAATTCCTCTGGGTCCTCTCTTTCGGCTTTGCCTGGTTCACACAAATCTATATTTTATGGGAAGTATCCCTGTTTAGTACCATCAACAGACAGAATTACCATTTAGAAAATCAGGGAAACACTTGTTCCTGCACTTTAAAGTATCACCGCACAAGCCCAGAAAGCAGAACAGTCCGCAAACCTCTCTTTTCTCCCCAATTCCAACTTCAGCTGCCGCCGTTTGTCCGCGGGCTGGAGCCAGCGGTGCCCGGCCCGCTGCCATCGCTGCGGGGCGGCTGCGAGGGCTGCACGCCCCAGCGCCCCGGCTGCCGAGCCCCGGGAGCTGCGGGCACCAGGGCCGGGCTGGGACAGCGCCTCCGGCTGCACGGCCCGGGGGACACGGGCACGGCACGGCCCGGCCCAGCACCTGCCGGCCAAGCGGCCCTCACGGCAGCGGCCCAGCCGCGCCTGCCGGGCCGGCCCCGGGGGCTCCGCCGCGCCCGGGCGGCCCCTCACCAACCTTCGATGGGCTTCAGGTAGTCGTAGTCGAAGAGGATGGAGAAGTCGAACTCCTCCTGCGGGCTGTCCGGCCGGGCCGGGCCGGGGCCGTGCCCCGGTTCCCCCTGCTGCGGGCCGGGGTCGGGGCCGGGCCCGGGCCCGGGGCCCGCGGCGCTCATGGCCCGGGAGCGGGGCTGCCCCGAGAGCCGCGACCCGGCGGAGCCTCCGGCAGCGAGAGCCGGCCGGTCAGAGCGGGGAAACGGAGGGAACAACGCGAGGAAACACCAAGAAATGCCCTGGCCGGGGAGGCTGCGGCGGGCGGCAGCGGTGCCCCGACGGCGGGTGCGGGCGGCGAGCCCCGGGCAGCACGGCACAGCACGGCACGGCACAGCACAATGTGCTGCCATTCGGGACGGCGCGGCCGGGCGGCAGCGGGGCAGCTTCCTGCTCCTCGCTGCCACCTGCGCCGGGGCCGCCCCCGGGGAGGAGCCGGCACCGGGCCGGCAGCGGCGGGGATGGCGGGGCTGCCCCGGCTCGGGGCTGCGGGAGCGCTGCCATCGGCCGAGCATCTCCGCCCCGCTGCCCCACGCTCGGCGTGACCGCCTGCCCTGCCCGCAGCCCGGACTGCAGGGTCCCGGGAGCGCGGCCGGGCCGCTGCCTGCTCCGGGCTTCGCGCATCCCGTGCCATGTGCTGCCATTCCCTGCACCGTGTCTGTGAGCACATCCCGTGCCATGTGCTGCCATTCCAATCGGCCGGTGTCTGTGAGCACATCCCGTGCCATGTGCTGCCATTCCCAGCACCGTGTCTGTGAGCACAGGACAGCCTCTCCCCGCTGCAGCACCTTTAGAGGCGCCGGCCCCACTGTGCACAAGGGCTCCGTTCTCCTGCCTCGCTCACAAACAGCCCCTCACTCAGTGTCTGTGAGCACATCCCGTGCCATGTGCTGCCATTCCCTGCACCGTGTCTGTGAGCACATCCCGTGCCATGTGCTGCCATTCCCAGCACCGTGTCTGTGAGCACAGGACAGCCTCTCCCCGCTGCAGCACCTTTAGAGGCGCCGGCCCCACTGTGCACAAGGGCTCCGTTCTCCTCCTGCCTCGCTCACAAACAGCGTTTCAGAGGACGGGCACTCGCCGTGCTCCCTGCTGACCACAGCCGGGTGCTGCCAGCCTCCCCAGGTGCCCCCTGCCACCTCCACCACATTGCCTGCATTCATCCCATCTGCCCTGGCCACTGCCCCCGACAGCCCCGGGATGGCTGCTGCCACCAGCAGTGACTTCACTCCTGGCTGACTGGGGACCCTGGGCTTGTGTGTTCAGAGCCTCTGTGGTCAGGGGGCTGCTCCCTCCCTTACCTGTTTGGTGCTGCCCTTTATGAGTGTGCAGATGGCTGTCGTCAGGTCTGTGAGTTTAAAAAATGCTCCTAGTCTGTAGACAGGGCAGGGAGGCAAAGGCAGAGGGACCAAGATCATTAAAAAGCTATTTTGGTGTTTACTTCAGCTTGTTTTTATTTGCTAAGCCTGTCAGCACGGCGGCATTAACTGCAAGACAAATCTTTAAGTTACGTTACTCGTCTAAGGTCACAGAAAGTCTGTTCTAAAACACACAGGGACCAGAATCTCTGCAGTTGGGCTTATAACCTACTGCCTTTCTCATTAATGTGTCCAGCCAAGGAATGACAAACTGCCTTCTCATCACACCCTTTTGCTCCATCCTGTGCTCGTCCAGAGGACAAGAACTCAGACTTTCCCTGCAGTTTGCAGTCAGGTTCTTCACTGAGTTTGTGAAGAAGCCCAGGACTGGCTGGTCCCCCTGCAGCTCCTGGAACACCAGGCAGGGCTGAAAGGGCACTCAGGGTGCAGCCAAACTGCTGGGAGGCTGCATCAGGCCAGGTGGGCAGCAGTCCCACCAGAATCAGACCTTGTGGCATTAATTCATTACTGGAAGGTGCCAGGGGATAGGAAAAGTGCCTGTCAGAACGGGCAGGTGAGCCTGCAGACAGAATACTGAGGTATTCACAGATGCTGCCAGCCCTTGGGGAACCTGTGCTGCTCCCTCTGAGAGCCTGGTTTGTTCTGAATTGTTTAAACATCTATTAAATTGGGTTGTTTGTATCTGTTGTCCAGTGATCCTTACCGTTTGCTGAGCACTGGCCTTTTATCATTGCCTCTTCTATTTAAAATTCATTAGAAAAACAAAATATACTTGCTGATCTTGGCTTAGCACTAAAAAGAGCTGTCATCCTCACAGCTGACACCACACGGAGCACGACTGCAGAGCATCAATTGGATTAGCCTCAGAAAGAAATGACACAAACAAAAACTTTGGGCTTTTTGAGTGAGATACAGGTGATTGGCAAGAGGGCGTGGGGAGACGACCCTGACTTCTGCTAAAGCTCTGTCCCTTCCTTTGCTTGGGGAAAGTAAGGCTTCAGACTTATCCTCAGCTACTCCTAGGATTAGTAACACTCCACAAATGGAAAATGTACCTTTTGCTTTCCAAGAGGACCGTGTCATGCCAGAGTCTCCCTGCTGACACACGTAATCATCAGTTCTGCTCTGCCCAGGAATGAGGGTGACAAGGCAGCAGTGAGAAAAGTGCTGGAGAAACGTAGGAATTAGCTCAGCTTATAGGATTCAAGGATTTCTGCCCAGCAGACAGCTCGACAGCTGTCAGGGAGCAAGAGCCACCAGGCTTTAAGGCAGTGTGTCCCTGCTGCTCCCCCCTGCAGCTCGCAGGGCACACGAGGACACCAGTCCTGTATGAGCACGACTCAGAACCCACAGGAAGAGTTTCCACGTGCTCTGAGAGCACAGAGATGTGAGTTGGAACTCTCTGTGGGCTGGGTTTGGACCTACCTGTGTGTTATTTTGAGCAGAAATGTTACAAACGCACAAAAATACAGATCTGGCCTAAATATCAGAGGGGCATGAAGCTGTTGGTAGGTGCAGGCAGCTGCACAATCCAGCTCAGGTGGCAGCTGTAGCGTTTGGAGCCTTCCAAAGGCTGAGTGGAGTTTAGTTTAGACCCAAAACAGGCTCTTGAGCCCACAGTGAAAATAAAACATTATAAATTTTTAGCTGTTAATAACTACATAACTGACAAATACTGCCCACAGTCTGTCATTAATCAGTGGTGAAGGAAAGGCAGGGAAGCTCCTAGATTGAACTAGACTGTGTGCTCTTCAGCCCAGTGTATGCACTCAGAAACATCAAAGAAAAACCCCAACAACGTGACAAACGCTTCCCAAAGCTTGATTTCCATTAGGGCTGGAGTGAAAGGCTGGAGTGCAGTACAAATGCTGCTTGGTTTTCCTAAATCTCAGTCGTTTTCACATCAGAGCCTTCCTCTCCCCAGGGATCCTCCATGCACTTCCCCTGTGTCCAGGGTCATGGAGAGTGGTCCCAGCTCTGCTCGGGCTCTCAGCACCCACCCTGAGATCCAGCAGTCACCACTAGCTCCGGGGTTTTTGCTCTAAAGCTGTTTTCATGAGCCAAAAAGGTGTTTGAAGGACTGAAGCAAAGCCTGTCCTTGGCAGCATTAACAAAAATTGCAGCCACGTAAGCTTGCAGCAGGCTGCACACAGAGCAGGGCTGGAAATCCACTGTGCTGCCATTTCAGGGAACTGCAGGATGGAAGCAGTCCCTTTTCCACATTCTTGGATCCGTGCTGGCCTTTGGCAGGGCTGCACCTCAATAAAACTTCAGAAGAATGTGAATACTGGACTACCTAGGTGCTGGGGAACGGGGAATCCAAAAACAAAGCTAAAAAGAGCACTTCCAGTGTAATACAGACTGGGAGTTAGAGAGTACTTCGCATATTTCTGTGTTTAAATGCACTGCCAATGTAACTTCTCATTTACTATTTTCAGTTTCTGCTCGTACTGCCCCACTGTATTCCCTGCACCAATAACTTCACTAATGCAAGGGAGCAGAGGGTGCTCTGAGAGGCAGAAATTTTATTTGATCTCAGAAATGTCTGTGCTAATTATTATTTGTCCCACATGATACATAATTTACTCTGCACCTCTAATACTGCAATACCTTCACATAAAACTTTTTAAAAGAAAAAAAAGGTAGAAAAAAAGCAGATAAAGAAAGCTGCATGTCTATTTAGCTGCTAAAACCCAAAGAAAATATGAGTCAATGCTGTCTTAAAAATCTAAGTGTTCTAATGGTGTATGTGGCAGGCATTAGAAATTTAACAGGCAACTAAAACTTGCACATGGACTTAATCCAAGCTCTTTAAAATGAGCTCAGCCTGTGAGTGACTGGTTCCTTGGTCTGGAGAGTGGGGAGTGTTATTAGAGAAAAAAAAAAAGAGGGAGAGAGAAGGGAGAAATATCTGGTAGTTCCTTTGAGAGGCACAGGCACACACAAACTACTTTTCAATTTTGGGGTCAGGTTGAGTCAGAGATATTACCCCCCAATTTCAAGCTTCAAGTGGTTTGGCAAGAAAGGACAATGGAAAAATTGCTCATATCTCCATGTTCCCATTAAGTTCTGAAGTCTGCTGGGCAAACCAAAGGAATGCACATATCATAGTTTTTTTTTTAAATAGATTAGCCCAGTAGTGGAAAAAAAGTTCTAGGATATTATTATCCTTGGCTATTTTTTTAAAAAAAGAGTGATGAAATTTCACTTAGAATATCTACTGGAATATTATAAAAGAGTGCTCCAGCTCTGACAGGGTCCCATCTGTGAATGTGATTCCTGCCCTGCACGAAAGCCTCTGGAATCATTTGCTGGCTGTAGCTGGTGTCCCACAGGACAGGCTGGTGGACAGGAAGGTCGGGGACAGAATTCACAGCCGTGGCAGCCCAGGCTGACACAGGGGGCACCTGGGGAAGGTCTCTGCTGTGGCTGAGATTTGCTGAAGGCCAGCTCGGGGAGCAAAGCCTCCAAAGCAGCTTTTTGCTGGCAGGGTGTTTGTGCAGAGCCTTCATTCCTCATCCCCAGCCTGCTCCAATCATAAAAGGGGATAAGGGCTTAAAATTATTAACACATCATCATTTACACACCCTGCATTAGTAAGACTCTAACACTTTGTTGTGGGTGCAGGAATCCTCCCAGAGGCAGAGACTGATCCCAAAAATGCCATGTGTGATTAACCCCTTGCAGTTTCATCTGCTTTTCCCTTGTGGAAATGCTGGGAGCAGCCTTGTGACACAGAGGCAAGTCGGGAGCAGGGACTGCACCACTGACAGGAGCAAGCATTTACACAAGGCAAAAATACATCCTGGCCCCAGGAGCAGGTTCCTTCTGGAGCATCTCAAGGCTCTGCCGTGCAGCTGATTGCACTGCTCCCCTGGCTACTGTGCTCTCAGCTATTCGCTCTGGAAATAAAAATTAAAATGAATGCTTTTCCTTCTGG